GGGCTCGGCAGGGGCAAGTGCGCATGCGCGGCCAAGTGGGTTCTGGCTAGGGGAAGGAGGTCGGGTTGGAATCTCGTCGGGGCTGCAAGCCTCCCCTTCACTGGGGCTACGTTAAGGATCATGCGTGTACAATGCTTTCAACCCTTGTACGATCAGTAATAGGAAAAAAGTGTTCAAAACGTAGGAATCAGAAGTCGTGGTAGAGGTGATACCTTTAATCAGACTGACTAGATTTTTGCAAAAAAAGTCTTTAATTGCAAGCTTTTTTTTTTTTTTGCTTTTTTGCTTTGTTTTTTGTTTCTTTTTGCAAAAATCTGGTCGGTCTAATAAAAGATATCACCTCTACCATGAGTTCCAATTCATGTGGTGTCTAAACCGGTACAGCTACAACCTGGAAACTTGACAAAATGTAGGATTATTTTTTGAGGCAGCTCATTGATGCGACACGTGCAAAACCCAAGTCATTGTTAGGGAGTCTTAGCTGACTTCTGGATTTCTTTTTTTTTTAATTTAAGTGTTCTGTATTCCAAGCCAAATTAGCCAAAACAAATTCCACATCTGAGAGTCAGTACAGAACCATAAGTGGTCCTACTACTGGCAAACATCTTCCACCCCCATCTGGGGTTTCATATGTTCCCAAAATCTTTGGCAGGCATCCTACTTGCAGGCCCAAACCCAGAGGCTTGGGGTTCAGATGCCCCTGAGTTTGGATTACCCCCAGCCATAGGGATGCAGGAGCAAGCTAGGGAGGAGTCTCCCATTTCCATAAAGTGGGTATAAAGTCAAAGTTAGCTATGCATTACCTATGCAGGTACTATCCCATGCTAGCAGAGTAGTCTTCCCCAGGTGCGACTAGGAAGCCACTATAATTAATGATCATGGTATTTTCCCTGCTAGGCAAACATAAGACTTCACCTGATCCAAGCGGACAAGAGGCTAAGAAGCTGACTTCTTGATTTGCTGTCAACCTTTCTTATGACTGCTTGTTTGGAAATAAAGGCAGGCTTCAACTTTGATGACCCAGTTCTCTCTCACTCACTGGCGTCTTACAGGGAGCTATATAAAGTTAACAATAAGGCTTATTTGCATTTTTTTGCATATTTTTTCAGTGTAAGATAGTTTTTCAGCAAATACGGTAATTTTGGCTTGGCCCTGGGGCTGAGGTGGTAGCAGCCCCCAGTATGTGTGCACTGCCCGCCTGCCCTCAGACACAGGGCACCTGGGTGTGGGACTCTGCCTATGGGCAGCGACGGAAGCTGTGGGTGGCGCAGCTGTGCTCCCAAGTCAGTGTATGAGCCTGGGGCATTGAGGAGCCCCAGCCAGTGGGCAGGAGTCATGTGTCACTGCCTGGCTAATAGGGCTGCCGGCCCATGCAAAGAGCAAAGAAGCATCAGCCAAGAGGTGCATCCCCTTCTGCACACTCGGGCTCTCTCCTGATTGTGCATCCACTGCTCTTTCTTTTCAGTCAGACATATGAACTTTTTCTTAAATCACAGCCTGCTTTAGTGGGTGTGATGTTAGTCAGTAGGGTTAATGATCAAGGTTAGTTAGATCCACTTACTCCAGTAGTGCCCAACCTTTTCACCCCTTCCAAGTTATGCCCAGTTTGGTCCTGATTTGATCCAGGGAAGCAAGGCTGTGCTCCCAAGTCACTGCCTGAGCATGGGGCGTTGAGTAGCCCCAACTAGTGGCCAGGGGTCATGTGTCTGCCTGGCTGGGGGGAATGGCACCCACACCAGGTACCAGTTTGGTCCATGGGCCTGATCTGGCACACAAGGCGACTGTGGCTAGGACGCCATCCCAGGGCATGGCAACCACCTCCTTGGGGCCCAATCCCAGCATGCAACAATGACCTGCCTAGGGCCCAGTCTTGGTACATGGCAGCTACCTTCCCCAGGGCCTGATCTAGCTGTGTGGGTACTGGAAATTTGGCAGCAGTGTTAATTGCCACCAAAATTTGGGCCTGTAGGGAGCCCCAGAAGCCAGGTGACATGTTGTGTTAGTCTGAAGTCAAGAAGAAAGTACTTTATAGACTAACTAAAGTACACTGTGTAGCACTGTCTATTAACCCCTGGTACTTACAGAGAGAAGGCAGCAAATTCACGGTGGGAATGGGGTGCACAGCAGTTCCTTTAATTGTGCAGGCTCCCCTGTGTGCCCCGCACCCATTGATTGGTGGAGGGACCCTGTTACTTGCCACTCACTCCTGATTGGGAGGCAAAAACCAGTTTTAAATATGCCACCATTTTTGCTGCTTGCTGCTAATTGGCCCAGGGGCCCTGGCAACCCCACTGTCTATTGCTGACCAGCTGGGAGGCAAAAACAGCACCATATTTAAAACCAAGGTTTTCAGCTCCCCAGTAATCAGGAGTGAGGGAGGGAGAGCACATGGGGAAACCTGCAAAATAAGAGGAGCTACTGCACAGCTGTGGTGAATTTAGTAGGTCCCTAATTATAGGGCTGTAATTTGGTATAGGAAGCTGAGGTAGGGATAGTTGCTGGAGAGTAAGCAGTCAGGAAAAGCTAAAGGTGGGGGCTATGAGTTACTGCTTGAAAGCTAGTGCAGGGCCAGTGGCAAAAATTGGTCAGAGCTCCAGGTGGGTTTAGAAGGCAATGACTGCAGCTCAGTTGCTCGAACTACAGCACATGGGAGGAGCTACTTATTAAACACCTCTGTGACAGATCAGAAGAGTGTGTGAGCAGAAGAGGTGGAGCTTAGGAGAATATAAACCCAGCTCCTGAGCCAGAACTGACCCTAGCAGGGAGAATAGTGCCTGGTACTCTGGGCTGCTAGAGGGTGAGTCTAAACGCAAGCTCAAGCACCTGGGAGAGTTGGAGGGAGCAGCAACTCTAATGGTGGATTAAGAGTTTGCAGGGTTCCATTGCTTGCAAGTTTGTTAGGCATTTCTGAGGCCTGGGATAGGTTGAAGGGTGGTTGAAAGCCATGAAAAGACATCCTAGGGGGGTGTACCTGACAGATATGGTTTGTGGAGGTTGGTAGGTCTATAAAGGTAGGGTAGCTGCTAGTGAAGCACTGGGGATTCTAGTTAGCAGGCCTAAGGCCTGGGCTAGATCACTGAATAA